GAGATGGTGTTGACCAAAAGGTGATAAGACAGGTTTTGTGGCGGGTGTTGGAGGTGATGAGACATGTTTTGAGGCGGGTGTTGGAGGTGATGAGACAGGTTTGGAGGCGGGTGTTGGAGGTGATGAGACAGGTTTGGAGGCGGGTGTTGGAGGTGATGAGACAGGTTTGGAGGCGGCTGTTGGAGGTGATGAGACATGTTTTGAGGCGGCTGTTGGAGGTGATGAGACAGGTTTGGAGGCGGCTGTTGGAGGTGATGAGACAGGTTTGGAGGCGGGTGTTGGAGGTGATGATCCAATTGATGATGGCTCTGTTGGTGGGCAGAAAACTGGGGGTGATGAGGCTGACTTACAGATGGTTGGTGAAAAGGAAGCTAGTGGAGTGATAGTAAAAAAACAGAAGTTTAAGATGTGTGCTAAGAAGAAATATCACTAGGCACCAAAAAGGAAGCTAAAGCCTTCAATCCATGTCAAGCCTCCTTATACCGAAGAAAAGGCGAAGAAGGAAAAGAAGAAGGAGAAGAAGAAGAAGGAGAAGGAGCAGGAGAAGAGTTCGGCTCCTATTTTGGTATCTGATGATGAGTATCGCTTGTATGCTGGTGTGTGATGTTAATGTATGAATCTGTGTTTAGGTACAACTGATACGATTAGGTACAACTATGTTTCTGGGTTTATGTATTTTGATTAGGTATGAATCTTTGAATCTGAATCTAATTATGTATGAATATTTTAATCTGAATCTTAATATTTTTATTTATGAATCTATGTATTGAAAAAAAAAATCTAAATTAATCAAAAAATCTGACAAATATGTGGGTTTGTAAGGGTTTTGGAAAAAAAAAAATTGTTAATACAGTTGTTATTTTGGCATATCTGGCGCCGTTATTCTGAAAAAATCTGGCGCCGTTATTCTGACAAATGGCATACCTGGCGCCGTTATTTTTTAAAAAAATTATTAAATAATAGCTCAAATTTGTTCATAGTTGTACAGTTGTACTCGGTTGCACATTTTTGCTTATAGTTGTACAATATAGAGATTTTAATAAATCTAGTTGTTATCAACTCTAATTTAATTTTTTTTGGTGGAACAGATTGTATTGCCTCATAAAAATGTCACTACTTTGTATATGTGCATTTATATTTATCAAAATACAAGTATTTCAAAAATTTATAAAATTTTAGTTCAAATCTACAAAGTAACCATGAAAGTATAAGGTTGTTAATGTATGAATGTTGGATTTTGAGTAAGAATTTCAGTATTTTTTAAAAATATGAAATTTTTACTCAAAACTTTGTTGTGTAGTTTCATTACCATCGTGTATGCCTTTTTTTAAGTTTTTTTTTAATTTGGTTTCAAATTTTTATATTATATAAAATTATGAAAATTGGCCAAGGCATTAGACCTTAGTTGTACATGTGGTACTTAGTTGTACCCAGACTGAAAATTTGCACAGATACGAAAAGGAAATTAACAATAGTTGTACCTGATAAAACTTAGTTGTACAACACAGAACATATAAGTTTTACAAACAAAACCAACACAAACAACATCGTTTCTTAAATTAACCTAATAAATAGCATTGAGAAATCAACCTTGGTCACCCGAATCGTCTCCGTCAACGTCACCATCATTGGTAAACCACTCGCCCAAACCGCTCGCTCCATGCGACCTCTTCTTACGTCCTCTATGCTCTCCAACGGAGGGGAATCTTGTTTCTTGTCTTCTTCCTTGTTTTACCTCGTAATCCGGAGGATATGCAAACAGTTGCATTATCTCCTCAGGAAGAACCCATTGACTATTATGGGGAACCGGATAAATTGTCCTCGTGTATGCCAAAACCCAAAGCTCGATCCAATAATACTTTGAGCACAAGTCATGTGCCCGGAGGTCAGGAGCTGCATCCTTGTTTGCTGTAAGTGTAGCCGCTATCGCATGCACACATGGATACTTGTCTATATCAAAACGCCTACAACTGCATGTTTTGCTTCTCAAATCAACCAAATAAATTTTCCCATCGCCTCCAATCACACTATAATCAAGATTGTAACCGTTTAGCTCTTGCACCACCAACTTTTTCGCTTTCTTAGTTGTAAGATGGAGTTCCTTCTCCACAAAAGGAACCAAATATTGACCACTTGGTAATAGTCCAGAAGCTTTTCTATGTTTGGCAAACCACTCCGCGATTTTTCCCACAATCGCATCAATCAATTGTAATAGTGAGTAGTTCCTTGCTCTCTCTAAAACACCATTAATAGATTCAACAGAATTGCTTGTGTCTATGTTGTATTTTTCTCCTCAAAAATAATATCTAGCCCATTTCGTCACATCCGCCCACTCATCTAGATACGTACGTGCCGAAGGATATGTAGACGAAAAAACTTCATAGAGCCTTAGGAACTCTGCCTCCGTATAAGCCCGAGCACATTCCCGAAACTTTTTTCCACATACTGCTTTGTTTACTCCAAAAACCTTCAATTTCACATTCTGAGACAAATGGAAGATACAATGCCCATGGTGGGACGACGGATATACCTCAGCTATTGCCTTGATGAGACTTTGGTTTCTATCCGAAACAAACACAATTTCAGGATCGTCCGGTATAACCGTTTTGAGCTTCTTGAGAAACCAAGTCCAACTATCATTTTTCTCGCCATCCACTACACCAAAAGCAATCGGATAATGGTGATGATCGGGATCTTGAGCCGTAGCAACAATTAGCACTCCACCATATGCAGTCTTAAGGTGGGTTCCATCCACGATGATCACTTTTCTCATGACTTGAAAGCCTTCAATGGAAGCTCCTAATGCAAAAAACAAGTACTTAAACTTTTGTTCCTCATCCACTTCTACATACGAAACTGTACCATGATTCATCTTCTCTAACATGTACATATACGAATGCACAAGCCTAAAACCATCCTCTGGGGTACCTCGAATATCATTTGCAGCTTCTTTTTTCCCTCTCCACGCGGTAGAGTATGACACTTGCACACCAAATCGTCCTTGGACCAAATCAATAAGATCTTTTGGAGGTGGTGTGGTAAGTTTACCAGGATAATCTTCAGCCAACAAAGAAGCAACCATAGTTGGTGTGCCTTTACTTCTACTTCGGCGCCCGGTACTTGTACTTGACCGAGAGCATGAATGAATATTTCTATGAGTTCGTATAGAAAAAGGCTTAGTCGTATCACGCCTCGCAGCTCGTATATACCAATCACACCCGTTATGTGCTTCCGAACATGCCACCACATATCTCAATGGATCCGACTTCTTTAAAACAAACTCAAAGACATTATTATGTCCAGCCTTTTCAACTAAACTTTGTATTGCTTCTTTGCTTCTAAATTCTTGGCCTACCGTAATATCAATCTCATCTTCCCATAAAATAGTTTCGGATGCATTCTCTTCTACATCTCTATCTTCATTCTCCACCACCGCCGGATATTGTTGTGATGGTTCTCCAACATACATAGCAAGGACACCACCACCACTATCATCCGCTCCACCAATTAGAGGAATATCTTCACTATTAGCAACATATCCTCTAACCAAATCCTCTCTTAAAAATTGATCAAACCCCTCATTTTCATCGATCCCCTGATTTTGTTCAACGTCATTGGTCACTTCGACATGCAATACACTTCTAAGCCCTTCTTCACTCACATCCTCATAATAACACACAACATCTTCATCATTACGAATATAATTTGGTCTTAGCTTACGTCCTTTGAATGTGAAGGGAAAGTAACTAACTCTCAGTTTTGTCGTAGCCTCATCTACCTTTTTCTTCCTGCAAATTTATTTTTGGAGATTAAAGATAAATTTATAAAAAATAGCGATCTGTAGGCCTTTTTTTTTCAGAAATCCCAAATAAAAACCTTATAGTTCATATCTCACAGTCTTGTGTCTTGATCCGACCACTTTTCATCTATATTCAAAAAATTTTAAATAAAAAATTCTTAAATTAAGGGTTGGGTTTGTTCTAACTCCTAAATATTTATAATTTGTGATTGAGTTTGGGATTTATGTACTTTTTAACATATAAAAATATTTATAATGAATTTGGTACCAAACGTAATGTAGAATACATCTTTTATACCTTAGGTAATTGAGAATATGTCTTTTACTTTTTTTTTTTTTTTTTTTGAATATCTGGAAGTTCAAGCCCGAAGGCCCTACATCTCCTGTAGGCAAGACTCACACAAGATTAAATTCATCTCCTTTGGAGAAGAGATCCCTCCCGTATGTTTTTACCTTACATTATAAATAGTACGTCTTTTAGATTAAATAATGTAGAGTATGTCTTCTACACATCTAATCTAGAATAAGTCTTCTACCTTATGTAATTTAGAATATATCTTCTACATAGTTTAGAATTTTACTTTTTTTGCATTGTGTAATACTGTAATCCATAACCCGTTTTACTTCTATTTGAATATATGTTTAGAATTCGTCTTCTGTATATGGTATCCAACTTAATAAATTTTACATGATCACAAAGCATATGAATTTGTACGTGGTGGTGTATGGGGATCGTTTTGCAATAGCGAGTAGAGATTTTATTGATTTAAGCGGGCACGAATGAATAAAGTATAAACGCTGTCTAAATCACACTTTCTTAACGTTGAATCCGTCCAAATAACAAAACATAACACCTTTTGTGTAGTAAAAATCAATTAGTTATTGTAATTGCTCCGAAACAAAGTTGTTTGAATTTAAACATAAGAGTTGGAATATATATTATACTCATCCCTTCTACTGTTTTGGTAAAGAGATTAGAGGTTTAACATAGTAAAGTTTATTTAAGCGAAGTTCTTAAAAGAAAAGAAACACGGCAAGGTTTTGAAGTATTACGCTTACAAAGAAAGTTTGGGACATTTATATTCATCAGCCATAAACCAGCAGTAGCATTTGAGTTTTGACTGTGGCTTCGGTAGATGTAGACATGATCTGATCTCTGGTTGTATGACAATCTATCTCAATGTGTTTCGTTCTTTCGTGAAACACAGGGTTTGTAGCAATGTAAATCGCTGACTTGTTATCACAGAAAACCTTAGCAGTCTTTGTGAAAGTAACACGAAAATCTTTCAGAAGCTGTTGAATCCATAGTATTTCTCTTGTAAGATCAGCAAGACTTTGATACTCTGCTTCTGTACTACTTCGACTTGCCACTTGTTGTTTCTTAGCTTTCCATGAGATAAGAGAAGTACCTAAGTATACACAAATACCAGAAACTGATCTTCTACTATCAAGGCATGTTCCCCAATCTGCATCCGCAAAGGCATTAATGCACAATTCAGTATCAGCAGAGTAAAAGAGACCCTGTTTAGGACTTCCTTTTAGATATCTGAGAATCCTGTGTGCTGCCTGAAGATGAACATCAGTCCGAGATTGAATGAACTGACTAAGCTTATGCACAGCATAAGTAATATCTGGCCTGGTAATTGTCAAATACAGTAGGCGTCCAATAAGTTCTCTAAATGGTGTTGCAGAAGGTAGAAGAGTACCAGTGTCCTTGCTCAAAGTAACATACAGATCCATAGGCACAGTACTAGGCTTGCATGCTAGTAAACCTGCATCTTCCAGTAAATCCAAAGTATACTTTCTCTGACAAACCGATATTCCTTTAGAAGTCCTTGCTATTTCCAAGCCTAAAAAGAATCTGAGAGGGCCGAGATCTTTGATCTTGAAAGCTTTAGCCAGAACTGCTTTCACAGCCTTTAAATCTTCTGCGTTGTTGCTAGCAATGGCTATGTCATCCACATAGACCAGTAAAGCTATAAAGCTTGTAGCAGTGACTTTTACAAACAAAGTCGTATCAGACTGAGATTGAATAAAACCATCACTGAGCAGAACAGATGTAAAAAACTGGTTCCATTGCCTAGAAGCTTGTTTCAAGCCATAAATCGATTTATGTAACCGGCATACAGGGTTAGGAGGCAAGGGTTCTGATGTACCTGGAGTATAGCCTTGTGGGAGGCTCATATATATTTCTTCATCCAGAGTACTATGCAAAAAAAGCATTAGATACATCCATTTGAGTCAGTTCCCAACCTTCTTTAGCTGCCAAACCTAACATCAACTTGACACTTGTGAGCTTAGCAACAGGTGAAAATGTTTCATTAAAGTCCACCCCTTCTTGCTGAGTAAAACCCTTTGCAACTAACCGAGCCTTGTAACCTGGCTCTGCTACCATATTAGTAATGGGCCTAACTCAACACCCAAAAGCTAGCTCAAGGGAGGAGGTTTGCCTCATACTATATATATTGCCCAAGGATTTTATTTCTTTCCGATATGGGACTCTAACACACCCCCCTCACGCTCAGGACTGGACATCTGAAGCATGAAGTCTGTGGGACTGGACATCCACGGATGGTAGCCCACTTTCGAGAAAGTTGAACCTGGCTCTGATACCATATCAGGATTCTTCCACCATTGTTAACAAACCCAGAAGAAGAGCTAAAAGACCGTTAGAAGAAGAAGAGAGAGAAGAAAGAATATGACATTTCTCATTAAATGTTTAATGTGTACAAAGTATAGTATTTATAGTCCTAAGACTTTAGCTAAAATACACATTTTATCTAAGTGTAAAATACTCTTCATAGATACTTTTCATTGCGGCAAGACTCTTTACACAATGCATTACCGTTTTTTTTTTAAAACAGTTCCCAGGTGCGGCTACGTGCTTGGTACCTTCTGACAATAAGCATTAGACTGTTGAGCATGTCCTTTTGGCATTCCTGGTGACTCACACAATAAATAGAAAAGTAGTCAGTTATGGTTTGGGTTTGGACTGTTTTTAAAGTTATGATTTGGGTTTGCGCTTGCATTTACAAGTGTTTTTGTTTTACATATTTTAAATATGAAAAATTCGAATGTTTTTTTTTTAGAATATATTACTTTTTCGTGTTTATTTATCATTTAAAAAATTGTTTAAGATGCTTATATAAGATTGTTAAATTATTTAAACAAATACACCATAAACACACAACTTATAAATACAAACTCACAACTTATAGATTCATATTATAATGTAATTACCTCCCCAAATCAACATGAAAATTATTAAAAGACCAACGATTCCGACACCATTTGCATTCCTGGCCATTTTTCATTATCTTTCTGCTTACATTAGTTAGATGAAATAGTTTATGTTTATAATCATCTGATTGCTCTAATATAAAGAATTTTGGTTTCTTTTTAAGAAAACAAATATTAGGTGATCCATAGATAATGCCTATTTAAAATGAGGGGAGAATGAATAGGAGAGATAAATATAACATAAATAATAATTCATTTTATTAATTGTTTGATAGGGAAGAAAATTAAAAAAAAAAACCAAAATAGAAAAGGATAAACTTAATTATGGTACACTGATACCCTGGCAAGCGCATACATGGTAACACATGTGAGATTGGACATATCTTCAAAATAACGGCATTATACCTTTCCGTCGAGTCAAATCGAGTCGTAGGGTCAAATCGGCTATAGTACCTATCTGTTAGGTCATCGACGTTTATACCGATCGTAGGGTCAAAGTTATTACAATACCTAACCGTTAGGCCGTCGACGTTTATACCCCGGTCTTGGGTCATCATCATGTTTATAGTTAATGGAGAGCCACATAGAGAATACATCATCGTAGTTTTCTATTTCCAACAATTTTCAATTACAAGTCTTGGCCGGACATCTTCGTATCAAGCTGTATTGTTTGGCCATGTCATCTTTGTAGTGGTGATGACATCAACGTCGTCATGTTCTTTTTTTTTATAGTACGATAGAAAGAATTATAGTAGATTCTCATAAGAATAAAGATACAAGACACATTCTCTTATATAAAAATATGGAATAAAACTAAGTTTTCTAAGTTAAAATAAACTAAATATAAATAATATATTTAGAGATAATGCTAAATATCATAAACTCGGATATACGAATCCACCATATTTCCATAATCATATTTCGATTTTGGTTCGTAATCTCCATCGATTTTGGTTTGTGCACTTCCATCATAATAACCAAAATAAGGATGCTGGTTCAGTGCATTACCAACTGCAGACTGAGTATTATTCAAAGTATTAAACACCACATTGTCATTCTTAGACATTGGTTTGATATTCTTCTGACGTTCATCCTGAGTTACCATATTAAAAACTTCTTCAATAGTCGGAATAGGATTCAACATGCGGATATGCCTGCGAGTAGCTTCATTGGACTCATTTAGATCTATTAAGAACTTTGTTACTCTGCTTCTCTAATGCAATTTTTCCCAAAGAGCAGCAGCATTACACTCACACTTTCCACAAGTGCATAAGGGAAGTTCCACATAGTTTCGATACTCTTCCCATAAGGTAACCAACTCAGTATAATATGCACTGACATCTATAAAGATCCCTGTTGAATAACACTCAAACATTGCTCAATCTCATATACTCGAGGAGCATCATCCTGTTTGAATCGTGACATCAAATTTTTCCAAATTCCTTCAGCCGTAGATATGAATAATAAGCTTTGACCAATCTTTTTCGAAACAGAGTTCATAAGCCAAGTCGCTACCATATCATTGCAACGAACCATGATCCAAAATCTCTATCATTCTCAGATGGTTTAAGAATTGTACCGTCTATAAATCCAAGTTTATTGCGCACATTGAGCGCCATGCGTACTGATCGTCGCCAAGAATGAAAATCTGCACCTGTTGCGAGGCGATCTGACACCAAAACCAAACCCGCATGATCGGAGTTATGAAGATAATATGGATTATCATATTGATCCATCGTCTGACGTGAAGATTCACCAGAATTCATCACAAAAACTTTGAAACATATCGAGATTTGATCAAGATGAGATCGATCGAGAGAAACGAAGTTGATTCGAGTAGCGGAAGAATGAATTCCAAGAAAAGTGATCAAGATTGATGCGAGAAATGTGAAGAAATGTGAAGAACAACGAGTCGATGTTCGATGAGCTCGTTGAGTTGAAAAATTAATGAATCGATGAATAAAATGATGAAGGATGATGAAGATGATGATGAATTGAAGATCGATGAATAAATTTTGCGAAGAAGACACTACAAGAAATGTGAACAACCATAGCACTTAAATATAGCGTTTTTTAATTTTCTGCTATAAATGAGGTACACACTACTTTTTTATAGCGTTTAGTGTTATAATATGTTATAAGCGGGAATAAATTTTTAGTTGCCCGCTTGTTTTAATTTTTGTGTTGGCAAAAAGCCAAAACACTTAGAAAAAAACAAAAAACTTTCCCCAGCTTTCTTTATTTCTCTCTAGTGCCGAAGCTTTCTTCTCGATCGTGCCCAAGCTTTCTTTCTCTTTGCCGTCCGTCGCCGTCGTTATTCCGCCGCCGTCGTCGTTATTCCGATCCACTTTCATAGGTTTGTATCGATTTGTGTTCTTCAATCTCGACTCCCCTCTTCCATGTCTCTTCTTCAATCTTGACTCCCCTCTTCCATTTATCTCTTCTTCAATGTCGATTTAGGGTTATTTTTGGTTAATTTGGGTTTCACATATACTAATCCTCTCCAAAACTTCTCTGATTTTTGCAGATTTTTGGGTCAGATTTGGCTAAAAGTATTACTTAGGGATTTTTAATTTTTTTGGTTCACGTTTTCTAATTCGACTTGTTTCCATGAGTAATTGATTCTACAAATCCTTTGTCCAAGAAGACTTGAGCTTAATCGTAAGATTGTGAATCCTTTCTCTCCTTGTTGTTCTATTTTTGTTCGGCCATGTTTGTTAAGGAGATTGAATATGTTAGTAACTTGAATGTCTGATCAATTGAATTTTTATTGTTTATAACTGGTCGAGGAGCTGTGTTGTGTTTGGTAATATGGAGAAGTCATGGGTTTGCCACACAATCACTCTAAGCCATATGTTAGGTCGAAGGGAAAGAAGTGTGGAGGTCGAAACTAACACAATCAAGATTTGTCTAGGGTTTTATTTTAGGGATACGACAATCGTGAATTCTCAAAGAACAACAGAAACGATTGATACCAAAGATGGTGTTCTTGATATTATTAATGAAAAGACGATTTTGATCGTACAAGAGTTTGATCGTAAAAGAAAAAAGTGTTTGTGCTGTGAGAGCTTTGCGTAGTGTAATTTCTAGAGCGATATTCCTTGCCCTCCTGTGAGAGCCTTGAGTCTCTTTATATAGGGGTGATAAACCGCCTCTCCAGCGATATTCTCGGAAGATTTCCATTTATCTTGAAGTCGGTGTAGAATATCGCGGATCAGGATAATTTCCTTATTCTTCGGAGTTTTTGGAAGATTTCCTGATTTAAGTTGATCCTTCGTGATTCTCCTTTATCATTTCCGGGTTTATCGGAAATGACCCTTCGGAAATGATGCCTTGTTTGGAAATGATACTTTGAAGATGAATATTTATCAAGTCTTTGCCTCGGGTGATGATGAAGACTTCGCCTCGGGTCACTCTGAAGACTTTGCCTCGGGTGACACTAAAGACTTCGCCTCGGGTGACTTTGCAGACTTCGCCTCGGGAACAATACACATTTCACCTCGGGTAGCACTGAGACTTTGCCTCGGGTAGCACTGAGCCTCGGGTAGCACTGAGACTTTGCCTCGGGGTAACTGCAGTATAAGGCTCGGCAGTGTACCCCGAGCTGACTGTGTACCCCGAGCTGACTGGCAGACTGACTGGCAGGGTACCCGAGCTGACTGGCAGACTGACTGGCAGGGTACCCGAGCTGACTGGCAGACTGACTGACTGTGTACCCCGAGCTGACTGGCAGACTGACTGGCAGGGTACCCGAGCTGACTGGCAGACTGACTGGCAGGGTACCCGAGCTGACTGGCAGACTGACTGGCAGGGTACCCGAGCTGACTGGTAGATTGACTGGCAGGGTACCCGAGCTGACTGGCAGATTGACTGGCAGGGTACCCGAGCTGACTAGCAGGATAACCCGAGCTGACTAGCAGGATAACCCGAAGTGTTGAAGTTTGGCTCGGTCTCAAAGGATGGGTGAAATCCGACCCCAACAGTTAGCCCCCCAGCTCGTTGACTTGGGAGCAAGTGTGACGAGCTTCATGAATGAGTCGACCGAGCTGTTAACTTCTGCTTCGAGTCGCCAGTGAACCTAAGGCGGCACTCTTAGAACCGTCCTTTTTCTTCTTTTTTGGTTGTAGTGTAAGATTGTGCATGGATGACTTTGTCGTTGTATTTTTTGCAAAGTAAATACAAACGCTATTTTCAAAGATCCTTGTCTTCGAAGAGAATACAATGATTTTGAATAGTTTCCGTATCGAAACATCTTTTTGTCCTAAGTAAAAAAGAATTATGTAGCCGGAGCGAAAGATAGATACCAGTGTTAAGATAAACTGGGTTTTAGTAGCCGGAGCGAAAGATAGGTACCAGTGTTAAGATAAACTGGGTTTTAGCAGCCGGAGCGAAAGATGGGTACCAGTGTTAAGATAAACTGGGTTTTAGCAGAAAGATTTGAACGTTCACGGTCGCGACCCGATTCGATTCAATCGATAACCAGTGCTTAGAAGCGAACTGGGGCACCAGTGTTAAGATTTTACTGGGGTTTCTGAAGACAATTTTATCTTTGGTCGGATATCTTCGACCAGATTGTCTCGAATGCTTATATAGCGCGCTGTAACCGTGGAGGTGTAGATGAATTTAGTTCGCAGGCGTGGCCATCGCCCAAACGAACCGAACGGAGTTTAGACCGTGTTGATTTCCCGAGGCGAGTTTCGGGGTAAAGACCGAGGTGGATTTGATCGGATAAAAACCCGAAGTGTATACTTAGAAATATAGTTTGATAAAATTTGAATAGGAGTATAGGAAACATATAATTGATAAAATTTGAGTGGGAGTATGGATATTCGGACCCCACTCTCCCCCCCCTTTTTGATAAGGGGAGGTAGCTGAACTCGTCCGAGGACGAGCTGCCTACGTACCCTTTTCGGGGATCAAGCCACCCCGTAGTTCAAGCTTATGCGTACCTTAGGTTTTTAGTGGTAGTATTTCCTGAGGTGTTTCCACAACTGAGATAGTATCGGCCTCCTCGGGACCGGTTGTGACGGCAATGGGGCTAGGATTCGTCATCTCCACCTCATGCTCATCAGTCGCTTTGGGAGGAGCAAGAGTTCCGAGAACGGCCTCCAAAGCTTTCTTCTCTACGGCCGCCTTCTTTTCCGCGAGGTACTTATCCTTGCTTCGGCCAATCTTCGCCTTTTTATGATTGACCTCGACTTTAGATTTGGCGAAGAGGTTTCGAAGTTTATGTGCTGCCATGAAGCACATCCTGGAATTCTTTTGGCTTCCCCATATCGTTTTCACACCGTTAGGCGTCGGGAATTTCAAGCAGAGATGGTATGTCGAGGAGACAGCTCGCATTAGGTTTAACCATGGGGTGCCCATAATGGCGTTGTAGATGGTCGGCTGATCTGTGACAGAGAAATTGACTATCTTTGTTACCCCGCCGGCTCGGACTGGTAGTTGGATGGTTCCAAGCATCATCAAAGTTTCCCCTGAAAATCCGAGGACAGGCCTCGGGATCGGAATCACCTGTGACATGTCGATGTCCATTTGTCGGAGCGTTTCGCGAAAGATTACGTCGATAGTGCTGCCGGTGTCAATTAATACTCGGTAAATATCATGGTCTCCTATCGCTAATGTGACGACGATTGGATCGTTATGAGGCATGTCGAGCCTGTTTGTCTCGCTTTCTTCAAATGTGATCACGTCGTTAGGTCGATCGAAGCGTCTTGTCCAGTTGCTAGGCGTCTCGGCTCGGCGTTGATAAGCTTTGATTGCCGCTACGGTGTCAGGACAGTATGGCGATCCACCCATTATGGTAAGGACCTTCTGCCGCGTACCATCTCGGTCTTCGTCTTCCGACCCCCGGGTTCTTTTCTGAGACTCCTGGTTCCTTGGTTCGGGGTCTCTTCCCGGGTTGGTCTGCTCGGGCTCTGGCTCTGGCTCGAGATCCTTAAGAGTGACGTTCGTCCCGAGCTCTCCGGCTAGAAATTTGGCCGCTAATATTGCTCCGAGGCTCCTGCATCTGGAAGTGTGATGCCCGATGGTCTTGTGATACTCGCAGTATTCTTTTTCGTCACCTGGGGGTTGACATCTTGCCCAAGTGAATGAATCTCTTCCTCGCCCACGGCCTACGTCGACTTGGTAGTTGTGGGCTCCTGAGAAAACGTTCCCTTCGTGGTGCGTGTACGTTTCACTCTGATCCGGCTTCTTCTGGCTTAGCGGTCCTGTTTGGGCTTTCTCGGTTTTCTCAGCTCGGGGCGCCTGTTTTGTTGGCTCATGCCTCTTTGCTAGCAGCGCCATCTCTTCTTCGTGGGCGACGAAATCCGAGGCTCGATGCAGCGCGTCGCGAATTGTTGTCGGTTTAGACAGGTTCAACTCTTTCCTGAATTCTGACTTGTACCAGAGAGCTTTCTTCAAAGCCGAAAGAGCGGCTACATCTGTAATTCCTTCGACCTTGGCTAGCGTCGATTTGAAGGTTGTGAGGAAATCTCTCAATGGTTCGGTGGGCTGTTGAGATAGGGACCACAGATCCGCGTCGGAGGTTCCGGGGTCGATGAGGACGGAGTATTGTTTGAGGAATAGTGTCGACAGCTCGTCGAAACTGTCAATCGAGTTTCGTTCCAATCTAGAAAACCACTCTAATGCGGGTCCTTTGAGGTGTTCCACGAACAGCAAGCATAGACCTGCATCCTTCTCCCCGGGCATAAACCTGGCTCGGGCTACGGATATCACGAAAGATTTAATGTGACACTTCGGGTCGGTTGATCCGTTGTAGGAGTCGATTTTGAACTTCCCCAGATTGGACATCGTCGTTTCGGAAATTCTTTTGGTGAAGGGCGTATTCCGAGACTCTTCTAAAATTCGGTCGATGTTTGGTGCAGAGGATGAAACGCTATGTATCTGGGTTATGACGAGCTTCATATCAGCTTCCGCCTTGGCTAGGGAGGCTCGGATCTTGCTGAGCTCGTCCTCCCTTTCGGATTCTTCGGCCCATCTTATGTTCTCCTCAGTTTCTTCATCGTCAGTGAGATCTGTTCGCTCGGCGGAGTTAGCTCCGGCTCGGGTACGCTCATCTTGCAGATCATCTGGCTCGTCCGTCAAGTCCACTGCGTCTGGCTCGGTGGGATCATCTTGGTTCTCGCGCCTGGCAGGGTCGGCTCGGGTTGCGACTCTGGTGTTGTCGGTTGGCGTCGCGAACGTGAGTCTTGTTGGGTTGATGCCAGGGAAGTCCCTCCGAGCTCGTGGCGGCCGAGTCTGGAAACGCGTGGTTTTTTGTTGCCCACGTGTTGCGATTTTGTCGACTTGCTGCGCCAACGTTTTGTTAGCTTTCTCTTGATCGTCAGCTTTCTTCTGGAATTTAACCATCATATCCTTTAGTTCGGCTAGGGCTGCTAAGATTGTCGGATCGGCTTGAGGATTTTGAGGGTTTAGAGCATTGGGATTCCCTCCTCCGGCTGGCGGTATCTGACGATAGTCTTCGTTCACCATCCTCTCTGGTATTCGAGTCTTGCGTTCTTAGGGTAAGAGAATTCTAAAGTATCCCCACAGACGGCGCCAAACTGTGGAGGTCGAAACTAACACAATCAAGATTTGTCTAGGGTTTTATTTTAGGGATACGACAATCGTGAATTCTCAAAGAACAACAGAAACGATTGATACCAAAGATGGTGTTCTTGATATTATTAATGAAAAGACGATTTTGATCGTACAAGAGTTTGATCGTAAAAGAAAAAAGTGTTTGTGCTGTGAGAGCTTTGCGTAGTGTAATTTCTAGAGCGATATTCCTTGCCCTCCTGTGAGAGCCTTGAGTCTCTTTATATAGGGGTGATAAACCGCCTCTCCAGCGATATTCTCGGAAGATTTCCATTTATCTTGAAGTCGGTGTAGAATATCGCGGATCAGGATAATTTCCTTATTCTTCGGAGTTTTTGGAAGATTTCCTGATTTAAGTTGATCCTTCGTGATTCTCCTTTATCATTTCCGGGTTTATCGGAAATGACCCTTCGGAAATGATGCCTTGTTTGGAAATGATACTTTGAAGATGAATATTTATCAAGTCTTTGCCTCGGGTGATGATGAAGACTTCGCCTCGGGTCACTCTGAAGACTTTGCCTCGGGTGACACTAAAGACTTCGCCTCGGGTGACTTTGCAGACTTCGCCTCGGGAACAATACACATTTCACCTCGGGTAGCACTGAGACTTTGCCTCGGGTAGCACTGAGCCTCGGGTAGCACTGAGACTTTGCCTCGGGGTAACTGCAGTATAAGGCTCGGCAGTGTACCCCGAGCTGACTGTGTACCCCGAGCTGACTGGCAGACTGACTGGCAGGGTACCCGAGCTGACTGGCAGACTGACTGGCAGGGTACCCGAGCTGACTGGCAGACTGACTGACTGTGTACCCCGAGCTGACTGGCAGACTGACTGGCAGGGTACCCGAGCTGACTGGCAGACTGACTGGCAGGGTACCCGAGCTGACTGGCAGACTGACTGGCAGGGTACCCGAGCTGACTGGCAGACTGATTGGCAGGGTACCCGAGCTGACTGGCAGACTGACTGGCAGGGTACCCGAGCTGACTGGCAGACTGACTGGCAGGGTACCCGAGCTGACTGGCAGACTGACTGGCAGGGTACCCGAGCTGACTGGCAGACTGACTGGCAGGGTACCCGAGCTGACTGGCAGACTGACTGGCAGGGTACCCGAGCTGACTGGTAGATTGACTGGCAGGGTACCCGAGCTGACTGGCAGATTGACTGGCAGGGTACCCGAGCTGACTAGCAGGATAACCCGAGCTGACTAGCAGGATAACCCGAAGTGTTGAAGTTTGGCTCGGTCTCAAAGGATGGGTGAAATCCGACCCCAACAAGAAGTTTGAGAAAGCTAAAGGAAGGTGAAAGAGTCGTGGATTCAACGTCTAATAAGAACTTGTCTTCTTTCGTTTTTCTTGGTTTAAGAATCAAAGTTTTGGTAGGGAACACTGGTTCCTCTTTACCCTTTGCTCTCCCTAATCACAATTGTAACATCTCAAGTATTATTAGTCCCAAAAAAAGACACTTGGTTCTGCGTCACACAAGAAGACTTCCTTTGTTGTTAAGGCTGCTTCAACTCCACCTGTCAAGGTACATGACATTCTCTAGTCTCTCATATATACCTCTCTCTGTGCATTGTAATAGTTAACCAGATCCTGATTTTGTGTGTTTTGGTTTTTCAGCAAGGAGCAAACAGACCATTGTGGTTTGCATCCTCTCAGAGTCTCACTTACTTAGATGGCAAGTAATCTTTAAAACAAGTTTTGGATCTTTGATTGCTTTACGAACTTAATGATGTTCAATAGTGGAGATGTTGTGATTCTTGCAGCTTACCTGGAGGCTATGGATTCGACCCACTTGGTCTTTCAGACCCAGAAGGTACTGGAGGATTCATGTTCCTTGTTCATGAACAAGGAAGATACTCTCAATTCAGTGAGGATTTTCTTCTAAGCAATCCATGTGATGGAGGAGACAGCTCCTTGCTTACTCTTTCTGGGGACGCTTCTTCTGATCTTGACCTTGGATGTCCTAATGACAACTTCTCCTTAACAGAGTAATTGGAACTGCAGTTTTTGTCTGATGAGCTTGAGTTAGGCATCACAGACCGTGCTGAAACCCCAGACTTGATGTAAGTTAACTTGGAGAGACACATGGATTGCTGTTACCCTTGAGACTGTTCAGAGTGAGTTTCTCTCCTTAACTTGCTAGCTTTTTTGTTCTGATTGCAGGAGATCTACCAAGTGAATCATGGCCAAAACTGTGTTCCTGCATCAATGTCTGTTACTGTAGAGCCTTCTCCAGGATCAGCAGTTAACCACATACCAGGAATGAGATGGAGTCCTGAGCTCCATGAGCTTTTTCTAGAGGCCGTGAACAAGCTTGAAGGGCCTGAAAGTGAGTTAGCTTTTATGTTATTCCAGCAACCAATCTATTATTCGAAAGAGTTCTTCTGACCAATGATATTATCTCATCATTGTCTTTTTTTAATCAATGCTAGATTGCTGGTTGATTCCATGGATGTGTAATGAGTTAGTAGTCAAATTTTTATCGGATATAGCTGAGCTCTGATGTAGTTAAGGACGGCTCTTGAGGTTTTGCAGGGTAAACTCAATTTGACAGAGAGGGAAATGTTGGAGAAATCATCTCAGTTAGCTATTGAGAGAAATAAAAGAAAAGAACTCTATAATGCTTACAAGAAGCTGACGTCCAAATATAAGTTTGTCTGCAAAAGATTTGGTCCTACTGCCGACAGCTTCCTTGAGGATGATGGTCACTGGACCAAGAGTGAAGAATGTTGTCAAGTTGAGCAGAGTATCTGCTTACTGAATTCAGAACCTCCTATTGATGATATGATAGAGGATCATGACACCACTTTCGTTTTATATATCTCTGTTACATGTATACTCTTATCATTTGTAAATAAAATATTTCCAACAATATTCTTTTGTTCTCCATTTTCTTTGAGATTGATTATTTATATGAGATTGATTATTTTAAGGCATCTACTTTAGGTTTCAAGTTAAATGATTTTAAAGATTTTTTTAAGATTTTTTAAATGATTTTCGAATTTTGTAAAAAAAAAGTTAAAAAAAAAAATAACCAAATATCTCAAAAAGACATAAATATTTAATTATAATATTAATAATTACATAAATAATAACAAAGTTATAATTTTAAAGAGTTTAGGGTATAGAGTTTAGGGTTTAGGGTTTAGGATATAGGGTTTAGGGTATGAAATGTATGGTTTAGGTTTTTGGATTATATTTGTTTGAAATAGTAATAATATTAATTATAACAAATAATAATATATATAAAATTCATTTTTAAAAATAGTTTAGGGTTTAGGGTTTAGGGTTTAGGGTTTAGGGTTTAGGGTTTAGGGTTTAGTGTTTTAAATAGTAGCTAATATTAATGATATAAAGTAGTATACTATTATAACATAAATGAATTCTTTCATTTTATTAATTATAACATCATTAATGTGTTTCAACAATATGATTTACACAATAAGAAGATTAGTGTACATGTATTCTAAGGCAATCATATGTGTTCCCTTCAAATTTCTAAAAACGTTGCAAAATATTTTTTTTAAATTGCGAAAAAATTATATAATCATGTAAATAACTCATAAACATATTAATTCATCAATATATAATTTTTTAAAATTATATAAATAGTAAAAACACATTTTTATGCCTATAAACAAAATAAGCCAATCATAATGTTTCACTCGGATTGCTGATGTGGCGAGATCTCAGCCATTCATCGGATCTAATACTTGATCAATTTACTCAATCCAATCATAATGTTTCACTCGGATACATGACGTGGCGACATCTCAGCCTTTCAAAGGCTTTGGCGGCTGCATGTTTAAGGTAATCTCATCCGTTCATCGCCCAACAAAGGCTTTGGCGAGATTCTCTTCAACCCTTTCTTCCTTTCCTCGACATCGACTGAGAACAAAATTCACAACAAAATTAATTCAGATTAGGTCTTCGTCTTTGGCGACGGCTACTACGACGCCAGCAACAAGCAGTTTCTCTCCGGGAACCATGTCGACGCCAATTCTCCACCGATGGCCACATCATTCCTGACTATCTCGGTACATTTCATATATACTGATCTCTTGAAATCGGTGCTAATTCGTGAAACAAAATGAATGAATTTGTGTTGTCTCTGTTTTGCGCAGCTGAATTGATGGGTATCCCAAGAATCCCACCGATTCTACGAAGCTCGGCAGAGGATCTCTCTCACGGAGCTAGCTTCGCTATGGCCGACGCCACCGTCCTCGGCTCTCCTCTCAAAACGGTCAGCTTTTAGTTTTCTCTGTTAGATCTCGCCTTTAAGTAAAGTTTCTGTATGGACCATTTGAATTTGCGTTAGTGATATCTGGAGATTTCTTTTGTTTAAGTAAGATTAGTTTACATATGAACACAGATGACTCTGTCTCAACAAGTGATCAAATTCTTCCAAAACAAGAACAAATGGACTGATAAAGCTTTGTCAGAAGCTATCTACTTGACCCATATTGGCTCTGATGATTATTGGGTTTTATAGTTTTGGTTGATTGGTTTCTAGAGCTTGTGCTTTTGCTTCTCTTGTTGCTGTATCTTCTGTTACAATTTCTCTTTCGTTTTTCATATTGAATCTTCTTGTTGCTGCATCTTCTGTTAGTGTGTAAGCTGTTGTTCTTCTCTTTGTTTGGTTTATAGTTAGTTTTCGTTTTGGTTTCTTTTATTGACTCTAAGACTGAATTTGGTTCCTTTAAACAACCTGACAGAGTCAAAATGAATGGTTGCTGATAGCAGATGTTACTCAATTGTGTTGGCTACTCTCCTAAGATCAGCCACAGAGAGCTGGTAGAAATGGCAGAGCACCGGAAGGAATTGGAGAAGATGGCAAAACCCGTTCTTGATACTCTAAGAAGCTACCAGGACTTGCCTCCGGTAATCTTCTTACTTTGTTTTCATTAAATCGAAAAACCTGATAACATCTCTGGTTCTCCAAGTCTTAATTAAACTGTGATTGTTCAGCATTATCAGTCTCCACTTTATTATTGGTTATTGCTAGTGTCGCTTCACAGTGTATATATATATCATTTCCTTCAGTCTCTTTTTTTAATTTGACTTATTTGTTTATGATTTAATTGGTTTTGTCTTTACAGTTTCATGTTAATGACCAAGCTGCAATTGAGATGGTTAAAGGTCGACGAAGCAATATTCAGAAGAAATTGTAGTTTTTAATTTTTGTTTTTGTTTTACGCCAAATTAGTGTGTAAACTTTTTTTATATAAGAGTTTTTGTATATTATTTTATGTAATAATGATAATAAATATTGTATTTTATTTTTGATATGTTATTTTAATCCAAAAATTCCAGTAAATGTGATTTAAATATAATTAAAATAATTAACAAAAATACAAATATTATAAAAAATAAAAATTACTGAAATAATTAATCAAATATAAATATTGCAGAAAAAACAAATTATAAAAATAGATACAATCCAATCATAACGATTATTATACGTTATTATAAATATTAATAATAGCAGCGTCATAAACGCTATCGTTGTATACTTAACTATTGCACAACGCAAAACCGCTATCAAAAGTGTCCGAGTTTCTATAACGGGCGATGTCAGAGCGCTTAAGGAAACGCTATGGTAGATGAATAATTGCGTTTTTCGGCCGCTATTAATACCCACATTTCCTGTAGTGAGAAGAAGATGGAGATTTCTGTTTTCCGTTAATCACCTTTCCGGAAAAATAGGAATGAGAAAATGCTTTTGCTCTGATACCATGTTAACACTTAGAATTAAGTGTGAAATTTCTCATTAAACATAAAGTGATCATACAACAGAGTATATATAGTATTAAGCTAAAGGAGACTTAATACTAAGTATATATTAATATGTTAATAAGATGCAAAACACCTTTTTATTATAGTGAATTATTCAATTCATTAAAAAAACAAAACAGAAAATACAGTTATCGATATTAAGAAGCATGCAAGTTGATGAGATTCCCCTTAGTATCAATATATTGACGCGAGGTTTGGAAGGATTAGGCTTAAGGACAAAATTTAGCATCCTTAAGCCAGCAGTGGCATGTGAGTTTTGACTGTGGCTTCGGTAGATGTAGACATGCGCCATGCAGAAATTTTTCATTGACGCAAGACTCTTTACATAATGCGTTACCATTTTTTTTAAAGCAGTTCCCAGGTGCCGCTAATACGCTGGGTATCTTCCGACAATAAGGATCATAATGTTTAGCATTTCCTTTTGGCATTCCTAATGACTCACAAAATAAATAAAAAAGTAATCGTTATGATTTGGGTTTGGATTGTTTTAAAAGTTAAATTTTGCATTTACGCTTTCATTTACAAGTGTTTTGTTTTACATATTTGAATATGAAAAATTTGAATGCTTTTTTTGTAGAATATATTACTCTTCCGTGGGGAGTACAATTTATAAATTTTGTAATAAATAAAATTTAACCCGTACTGTAGTACGGGTGATGATCTAGTTATGAATACAAACACACAACAATAGAGAGTTTGGTTAGATTCATATTATAATGTAAATTACCTCCCCAAATCAACATGAAAATTATTAAAAGACCAACGATTCCAACACCATTTGCAATCCTGGCCATTTTTCTTTATCTTTCTGCTTCTTTTATTTAGATGAAATAGTTTATGTGTATAAATCACCTCAGTGTTCTATATAAAGAATTTTGGTTTCTTTTTTTAAGATAAAAATACTAGGTGATCCATAGATAGTGCCTATGGAACACTTAAAATGGGTGAGAAATAATAGGAGAGATAAGTAGAAGATAAATAAAATTTCATTTTAATAATTGTTTAATAGGGAAGGAAAAAAAAACTTAATTATGGTACACTGAAAACACTAGAGAAACTAGGAACAAATAAAACATGACAATTTAAACTAAAACTTCAACACCAAAAATTCCCATATTCGACAATAGTTTAAATGATGGAAAATGAACGGTTTTATGGACTTCATCAACGAGTCTCGATCCTCCAGCAGTTGATGTGCTATAGATTTGGGGACCTTTATTAGGATTTAAATTGACAACTAGTTCCACATATGCAATGTTTGCCGTGGGAGAAATTAATCTCACATGTATGTAGTTTTTAGTTTCATTTATGTCCCGTTGAAAATTTAACTTTGTCCTAACGACGCATGCTTGTAGTAAAAGTCAAGCAGTGTTGAAAAAGAATAAATTATTGTCCAGAGAATATATAATTCTAAGAAGAATCCAGTTGTTCAAACAAGAAAGAACGAAACTGATTAAGAAGACAAAGAGAAAAAAAAGAAAAAGATGAGGATCGTATTATTTTTATTCGTCTTATTTCACAAAGGTTTCTCCGTGTATAATTCAAGAATCTCATCGTCAGCTGCCTTCGATATATCTATCCAAAACAAGATCTCGTCCCCAAAGAGTATTCTTGAGCTTGGTTTTTTCAAACCGGCCCCAAGTTCCAGTGTTGGTGACCGATGGTACCTTGGCATGTGGTACCGAAAGCTGCCTAATGAAGTTGTTTGGGTTGCCAACAGAGACAATCCACTCTCCAAGCCTATCGGAACACTCAAAATCTTCAGTAACAACCTCCATCTCTTTGATCATACTAGTAACTCTGTTTGGTCAACCAATGTGACTGGCCAAAGTCTGAAGTCGGACCTGACCGCCGAGCTTCTTGACAATGGCAACTTGGTATTGCGATACTCCAGTAACAACGAGACAAGTGGATTTTTATGGCAAAGCTTCGACTTTCCGACGGATACATTACTCCCTGATATGAAACTGGGTTGGGATAAGAAGTCGGGTCTAAATAGGATACTAAAATCATGGAAAAGCATTAATGATCCTTCAACTGGCGATTACACTTACAAAGTAGAAATCCGTGAGCCTCCTGAGAGCTACATACGGGAAAAGGGTGAGCCATCACTCCGAATTGGTCCGTGGAATAGTGTAAGTGACATTAACGTGATTGGAAAATTGACGCACGGAACCGAAAACATTACTATGAAGAGTGAGGAAATCAGCTATTCATTTAGCGTAACTAACGGTAACGTTTTCTCAATACTGAGGATGGACCATTCCGGAATATTGAACCGGTCCACATGGATCCCAACTTCAGGGGAATTGAAGTGGATAGGGTATTTATTACCAGAAAAATATGATATGTGCCATGTGTACAACATGTGTGGTCCTAATGGTCTCTGTGACATAAACACATCACCAATTTGTAACTGCATCAAAGGGTTTCAGGGGAGACATCAAGAAGCATGGGAGCTAGGAGATAAAAAAGAAGGGTGTGTGCGGAAGACACAGTCGAAGTGCAATGGTGATCAATTCTTGAAGTTGCAGACCATGAAGCTGCCAGATACAGTAGTGTCAATTGTAGACATGAAACTTGGGTTGAAGGAATGCAAGAAGAAGTGCTTAGCGACTTGCAACTGTACAGCATACGCGAACGCAAATATGGAAAATGGTGGATCAGGTTGTGTTATTTGGGTAGGAGAGCTACTCGATCTCCGGAAATACAAGAATGCTGGTCAAGATCTTTATGTTAGACTTAGGATGGAAGCCATTGATATCGGTTAGTTTCTCCCTCCAAAAACTACATACAAATCTAACTAATTTTATAAAAATCAAAAATATTAAAATAGGTTATATATTTTTCAGAAAAATTATCATTGCAAAATGATTTCTTAAAAGAATTTTACAATGTTAATATTAATCACCTCATTTTAAAAAAAAAACTTATTACTTTGGTTTGCGACAAGACTTCGGCCATTGCTCTGTTTTTGTTTAAATCTATTCGATTAAGCCTTAAACCGAGGATGCATAACACATGTTTTTTAGTGACTATAGTTTTACATCTATTAGAAAACTTACATGTCATCATAATAGCTTCTAGTAATAATATATCACGATTCCTTAATCAAACCAAACAGTTTGGTTTTGACTTTTGAACGATATACAATAACTCTGCTGGTTTACTTTAACAAAAAGAAAAATGGATATGGGATGTTGATAAAACAACTCATATTAGATATTAAAAAGATTTACGTTAATAATAAGGGATCGGAAGTTATTGTTATATATTCCACACAAACACACAACAACAACAAAAAAAAAAAAAAACTGTTTCCATTGAAATATAGAAAAAATATTAGGCACATGCATGAGTTATAATTAATTTTGAGTGAGGATATATTAACAAATTAGCACATAAAACAAAAGATTTTTTTAATATTAAAAAATGATGTATTGTTCAAAAATGAATAATAATAAATAGATATACACTTACGTAACATAACAGTATATTGTGGCAAATAAAATACATGGGATGCCGGATGTGGTTAGAAAATACCGAAACACTCATATACGATTACGTGATGACATAAAAAATATATATATTCATCATGTAACATAAATAACGTGATAAATTTTGTGACATTTTTACTTGTTTTTCAGGGGACGAAGGAAAAAATAAAAATAAAAAAAATAATACAAAAATAATATTTATTATTGTCGGAGTTGTCATTTTGCTTCTTCTAAGTTTTATTATAATGGTCTGCGTTTGGAAAAGAAAAAAGAGACCGCCAACAAAAGCAATTACCGCACCTATTGGTACATTTGTGATTATCTTTTTTTTTTCTCTTCATATTTGTGTCAGAATGGAAATTGTTTTTTTTTCACTTGAGTAAGTAATTTTTTACTTCTAATGACTATATCAGGAGAATTACATTGTGAGGAAATGACACTTGAAACAGTTGTAGTGGCGACCCAAGGTTTTTCGGATTCAAATAAAATCGGTCAAGGTGGTTTTGGTATTGTTTACAAGGTAGATTAACATATATATACACATAAGATATCTACTAGTTCAGTAAATTCCGTGTAATTTATATAATATACATATAACAGGGAAGGTTACTTGGCGGACAAGAAATCGCTGTGAAAAGATTGTTGAAGATGTCAACTCAAGGTATCGATGAATTTAAGAATGAGTTGAGTCTGAACGCCAGTGTCCAACACGTCAACCTCGTCCAGCTCCTGGGATACTGTTTTGAGGGTGGTGAGATGATTTTAATATATGAGTACTTGGAAAACTCTAGCCTCGATAAGTTTATATTCGGTTAGTGCCTCACAGTTTAAGAAGTTGTATTTTTTAAGGTTAAAAGTTATTGAAAAGAAACTAATGTGAGTTTGGTTTTCTTAGACAAAAGCCAAAGCTCTAAGCTAACCTGGGAGAAGAGGGTCCAAATTATTAATGGAATCTCTCGGGGACTTTTATATCTTCACCAAGATTCGCGGCGTCCGATGGTCCACAGGGACCTAAAACCGAGCAACATATTACTTGATCAAGATATGATTCCGAAGATATCAGATTTTGGGATGAGTAAACTCTTCGACAAGCGTACGACAGCAGCTAACACAACAAAGATCGTTGGAACTTTGTAAGCAAACAAATTATCAGCATCATCTTTACATTTGGAAATAAAGCAAACACTTTACAAAAACTCACAATTGTGTTTCTTGTTTCTTGACAAAGCGGTTATATGTCTCCCGAATACGCGGAGGACGGAACTTATTCAACAAAGTCAGATGTTTTCAGCTTTGGAGTCGTGCTTCTTGAGATTATATTTGGAGTAAAAAACAGAGACTTTTATATATACTCGGAGAACGAAGAAAGTCTTCTTACATATGTAAGTTTAATAATCATCCAAAGCATTTTCGTCTTCTTTTTCTTTGTTGTGATTGATAAACGCTTAAAGCTTTTTTTATGGTGAACAGATATGGAGGAATTGGAAGGAAGGAAAAGGGCTCGACAGCATAGATCAAGTTATCCTTGATTCATCAACATTTCAACCACACCAAGTTAAAAGATGCATACAGATTGGTCTCTTGTGTGTTCAAGAACGTGCAGAGGATAGACCCACGATGTTATTAGTGTCTGTCATGTTCGCAAGCGACACAATGGAGATCGATCCGCCTGGACCGCCTGGTTATTTAGTCCGTAGAAGTCATCTTGAGACTGGTTCCTCGTCACGAAAGAAGCTAAACGAAGAATCTTGGACTGTGGCCGAAGTAACCTACTCGGCCATTGAACCTCGGTAATCAAACGACGTGTTTCGCAAGGAATTTATTTATGGGAGAAGGATTCTAAAAGTTCATTTCCAGCCGGTGTGGGAAGTATCTTGGAACTTGATAAAAAGAAAACATAGCAAAGTACTTAAATTTATAATGTTTTCTAATGTTTTAGTCTGTTTTACTATAAAGATCAATAGCATGTAAATCAATAGCAGAAAATACAGAAACCTTCTCACGTTACAAACTACAAAGTAAAATTATGAAGTACTTGCCGAATTATCTTGATCTCTAATTTACAAGTTTTTATTTATAGGAATTAATGTCAATAGTAATTGAATAGTTAGTGCCTCACATTTCGTTTCATATTTTTAGACAATAATGTATATAGCTCTCAGACTGTCGCAGTTCACTTCATATTTTTATTGCACAAAACCACTTCTTTTAGCAATCTTTTCATCCTTGATGCATGCTCTCTGTAAGAGTCAAATACTTTGCTTTTGTTGTGCATAAGGCGACAACATGTTGTAATCATAATCTCCAATTTTCAGACACTCTAAAACGTAACGTTTTGCAGACTTAATTTCTTTCTCAAATTTTAGATACAAAGAATTAATCATTTAAAAACGGTAAGACCTGAAAATACTATATCCCATATGTTACAAGAAAAGAAACCAGTTTTTCAGACGATTTTTGAACGCGCAATTTTCTATGTAATTAACGATTTATGGTGGACATTTATCTACATTGTGCTTTTGATTAGTAGTTTAACTTGCAAGAGAGGAGACCACAACATAAAACTCTATCTCATAGTTACAATGTTAGATCATTAAAGACTACATTGTACATACAAACAAGTCTTATATAAATCAATTTACAATAGAATTTTGTTGGTAGGGTTTAGCTGATTTTTGTTTATAGCTATATATGGTTTAAGATATACAAAAGTGGTGATGGATTTGACCAGTCGTCCTAGACCTTAAAAGGACCGAACCGGTCTAAATATATGTCCATGGGTGCATGTATAAACACCTATATGCGTAACATTTGGAATTATGAGATATCTGTATTTTTTGTTGTCATCTGAATGTTATTGATAAAACCTTGAAAGATACAACTACATTTTGTAATAATTGTTCACTATTTTATGTAACAAATTATTTTTGGAAGTCAAAACTTTTACCCAAATTTTTTGCCACCCGGGCAAAGTCTTTGATATTAATTCAAAGTAAAGTTTAAAAGCCAATGTGGGACTAATTGATTTTGACTTTGATGGTTGTGATGGTGGGATTTGGAGAACGTTCGAGTTCCACGTGATTTAGCTCCCAAAGAATCATAGTAGACCCTCACAAGAATAAAATATACAAGGTACTTATATAGACTTGAAATAAATTTAAGTTTTTTAAATTAAAATAAACTTAAATATAAATAATATATTTAGAGATAATGTTAAATAGCCTAAACTCGGATATGCAAATCCACCATATTTCCATAATCATATTTCGATTTTGGTTCGTAATCTCTATCGATCTCGATTCTGTTTGGATCGATTTCATTGATCTCCCGATAGAGATATGTACAACGGTATGGACAAGAAAAATTTCAAAATCAAATATTTGAATTTGGCTTACTAGATTATGTCTCGTGTTGATGACTATTTACAATCACACTTATGTGCCGAATATGCTCTGCTTTTGTGCTTTTACTAGCGTGGTTTAGATGACGTGGCATTTTCAGGTTGGCCATCATTTCATTTGTTCATAAACCAATAACGATCGGTGTTATGCAAAACCAGAAAATACGGTTTAGGATCCGGTTTAAGCAGAAAGAAAACCTATTGAAAGTGCTTGGTATTACTTTAGTTGCCGTAACTGTAATAAAAAGGTCACTCACATTCATTCTGGAGTGAATACTGCTTCCATGAAGAAACAAAAGCCAAAGTTTTGGTGTGATGTCTGCAGGAATGCTGTCACTAATGTTGTAGCAAAGTGAGTCTTCTTTTCTTAATCTGATAATAATGCATATTTATAAGTTTGTGTTTTTCCTTTGAAATAATTACTAATATGACTTCTCTTATTGAAGGTACATGCTATATGTTAAGGTGATGGATAACACTGGTGAAACAAAATGTCTTTTGTTTGACAGTATATGCTCAGAAATTGTTGGTGAAACTGCTGCATCATTGCTAGGTGGATCATTCAATGAGGTAACATTCTATTATGCTAAACCATATATGTAATTGATATATATGAAACATTCAATTGATAAGTACTAAATTCCTTATGTAGATTGAGGACCCTAATGATTTGCCTGACGTAATAAGGAATTTGGTTGGGAAGACCTTTCTCTTTCTGCTATGTGTTGAGAAAGAAAACATTTGGGATGGTAAGGATTCTTTCAAGGTTTCAAGAATCCTAAACAAAGATGGACTTTTGCAAGAAGATGTCCTTGAGGAATCTGAACAATTGGTTAATCCTGCCTCAATTGTTTCTGGAGATCAGGTAACATTTTTTAACTATCTAATCTCTTTAAAATTATATCAACTATCTCTCCTACTGATAATCTCTATATTCAGTGTCTCATGTTAACAATGAGTCAAGACACGTTTGACTCATCCACTCCATCTTCCAAGCGTGTTTATGCTCCTAATCTGTCTGAGTCAGAGCAATCCTCCAGTTCTAAGAAGGTGTGCATCGAGCCTAAAGACTTACAGAAGTCAGAGCTAGAATTTGAGGAGAATGGTCTGTCTCAAAATGGAGTTCCTGACAAGACCTCTGAATTTGTGAAGGTAGAGAATGTCAAGATTGAAAGCAACAAAGGAAAGGGTGTTCAAGACAGTGGTGATCTTCCTGTGACTGAGAAGAAGGAGACTAGGCATGTGGCTAAAGCAGTTGGAATGAAGATCAAAAAAGAGAAATAGTGATCTAGCACCTGTTTGCTAAGCAATAAGGAGTTATCATAATTCCAAGTTTTTTAAAATTTCATTGTTAGACATTTGTTGGTTTTTTACTTTGGTTTTTAATTGATGTTTCATTTTGATTTTTTGGTTAATCTCCTCTAATAAACCTGTTTCAATTTCTGTCTACTGTACCGTTGTCTTACTCAGTTATTGAAATAGCAAATTTAAAAAGTTTAATCTAATCATTAGACCTCAAAACCTAAAGTAGAACCGCTATAACATCCTTATGTTTGCTACACGAAATCTCTATTATAAACAATGATGGAAAATCTTGGAAATCGTAATATGGAAAGCACAGTTTTATATAATCATTACTATAATTATGAATAAAGATCTTTTACAGGCTAACGATTCAGTTTCCTTGATATATTATATCTAACTTTACTTATCTCAAACGGTTTCAATGATTTACAATATATAATATCTATTTTATATAGGAAATTAAATCTATTCATTCACATCTCTACACGATTCTATAAATACTCAGACTTAACCTTTAGATTTATTCAGAAACCTAACCTTCTCTATAAAAAAAAACTGAGAAAAACTTACACTTTATGTGATTCTAATGGGTACTATTGACTACATTTCCGATCTCAACCTGCAAAGACCTAGATGGACTTTGTACGTGAAGATTTTATCTATCTGGAATCAAGGTATAGACGCTATTGATGAACCTACGATTATGATTCTGACTGATGAAAAGGTTAGAAAATTTCTTCTATTGAACCTCTGTTTCTTAAGTCACAGATTTACTAATTTGTTTGAATCTTCACAGAGAAAACTTACTATTTAGTTCTTCTTATATGCCTAGGCCAATCAGATTGATGCATTTATCCCTCCTGGAAACTACTTATACAATTTCCGGCCAGGTCTCAAGGAGGGTCACTGGTACTACATGGCTGACTTCCATGTGGTACCATCTACTCAACCTGTTAAGTACTCCTGGAATCGTTTTGCACTAGAGTGTATATGGCCTACCACTATGTGGCCTGTGTCTCCTAGATGTAATGGAAATTTCTTCAACTTCATTCATTCTGATGAAGTTGAGTATGCTGGATGAGAGGATAAGCAACATGTGTCAGGTTCAAGTATATTTATTTCTTGATTGAAAATTAGTAAAACTTTGCTTTATTCTGACTTTAATTAAGTATATTTGTAATTTGTTTTCAGATGCTATTGGTGTGGTCTCGAGTGTCTCTGCTATTCAAAGATTTCCATTTGTTTGTCGTCAAGGAGAGACAGACTATGAAGCCAGATTTGTTGTTGTCGAAATCAAGGATGACATGTAAGTTTTATTTTAATAGATATCTCAAATTAGTATCTGTATTGGCAATGTGGTATTTAATGCATTGAATCTGTGATCATGTAGGGGTAGGAAAACAATCTGTGTTGCAAAGGGTAGGTCCTGTCAGGCGTTTGTGACTAAATGGTTTAGGAAAATAACTTCTGTGACATACAATTATGACCCAGTTGTCATTGTCCTGCGTTTTTGGAGGGTTGCTGAGTTTGAAGGTTAGTTATTTTCCTCTAAACTATATATAACTGTCAAATACATTAGACAATAACTCTAACTGGTAACTATCAACATGTTTTAATAGGTCAAAACTGTTTGATGAGTGAGTATGGTTGTTCAAGGCTTTTCCTTGATCCAACCTTTCCTGATTTGGACATTCCGAGATACATGTAAGTAGTTACCTATCAGAAGTTAAATAAGTAATCAAATGCTATGATTACTGATTGGATTAAGTAATGTTTCTCTTTTTTGAAACAGTCGTGGCTTTGCAGAACAACAAGATGATGTTCAGGATGTTGGAATGAAGTTGGAAGCGTGATGATGGGAAGCTAAGTTTGGTTCTACCAGTGGCTGCAGTTGTTTTATTATTACAAAAATACTTTCTCGGTTCTCTATTGTTTTATGTTTCTGAAGACAAGTTTGTTTTAAGTTTCTTTTGACTATCAACTGCTTTATCCTTTATTTGAATTTAATGTTTATCTAATTAATCTACTCTAATGGTTATTTGTTTTATAGTAAGTTTTAGTATATGATCAATAAAATATATAATTACTGTATCAAAGTAATAATTTCATTAGATAAATTAACAAGTTTTGAGATATTTGCTAAACTATCAGTTTTGTTCAGTTTACCTTATTTAAATAGTCCATCTTCCTTATGTGCTATTGATTGTGAATAGCAAGAATATTTCATTGCTCTCTTTCCTGAAACAAAAAATATAGTTAGTAATCTTATAATTACAACAATAATCACTACAATCACGGAATCAATCTTATAGTTTGGTATATTCCGCATATTATCTAAAGGTTCTCATTCATTACTTATAGAAAATAACATATCTTAGTTCCTATATCTTTGGCAACAGACAATCATTTAACAATAATAGTCAATCTACAGATATCAAAATGCTTTCTATTTAGACCTTAATCTCCTTTATATAGTTACCAAGTAGTCTAATCATCTATAGACATTCTTAGACTAAAATATGAAAAAAAAACCTCTATCTCCAACAGAAAATAATGTTCCTGAGTCTAATCCACCAAAACGTAATCGAGGAAATGAGCCTTACACTAGACTAAGGAACATTTCTCAGTTTAATCTACCTATAATCAGGAATGGTTCTGTCCCTCTTAGTACAGCGTTTGGTAGTGCTTTTGGAGATATTACTAACCTTCCAGACCCACAAGTTAGCCCCATTGAGAACTCTGCAGATGCTAATACATCTTCATCTGCAAAACAGAACAGTAAGAATCAAGGTTAGTTTCTATAGACAAGTTTTCATTTACAATTATTTTGTTTTCATTCTCATCAAAGATAAATAGAAAATACCTTTATCTCTAAATCTTGATGAGTTTTAAAACAGGTTCACTTCGTGGAAAAATTCTGGTACCTTGCTCTCCTTACACCAGACCTAACCCATTGTTAACTCCATATGGATTAAGCGCCATGACTAATACAAGCCAGAGTCTTTTTAGCAGAACACCTACAACTCCAATAATGCCTCCACCTTCTGTAACACCAAAGAGAATAGGTGGTTAGATTAATTAAGTTCCACATATGAATAATTTTTGCAACAATTATGGTATGATAATGTTTTAAATAGAGAAGTATATTGTATAAGTAATAAGTTTAATATCTGTTGTAGGTGTTCAATACACTGGAAATCCATCATGTATAACCAACCTCCAGACATCAAGCTTTGTTTCTCATACAATAAATTTGCCAAGGAAAAACTTAGATATTGATTTTACAAATGCAGAAACCTCTTCTTCATCTAAAGGTAACAGTCTTTACTGTATTGTTTTTCGCTTGGAAACAAAATGTAATTAAGAGGCATGTCTTAACCTATTTTCCTGTTTTGTATTCTCAAGGTCAGAATACAACTCAAGTAATAGATATTGAAGATAGTGATTATAGCCAAGATGATGAAATGTATGATGATCCTGAGTTTGGTAATGTCAGTGAAGATGAGACACTAGCTCAAAGCTATGATCTTAGTTGCAGTGAAGGTGAAGATGAAGTAGTAGATAACAATGAAATGTCAGTTTCTGACGAGGAACAGATTGAAATGATGTCACACATAACTGAAGTCTCATCTCATATCAATGATTTGGCAAGATCATCTATTGAGTCTGTTCAGCAAGAAACACATGAAGGAAATGTGCCTCCGAAAAGAAAAAAGAAAAGAAAATCAAAAAAGAAAAACACACCAATAAGTAATTTTCTTGCCCTTCCCAGTACTTTTTTTTTATTTTTGGTAATTCTGAATATGAAACTTATGAGAAACATATTTATGTTTTTCAGCTTATCTTGATCATGGTGACTCTACTTACTCGTGTAAGTATTGTGGTGCATTGATGTGGCATGCTGAAAGAATAAACAAAAAAGTTAAACGACAGATCCTACATTTACACTATGTTGTGGTCAAGGTTCTGTTAAGCTGCCTTTTCTTAAAGAGTCACCAGAATTGATCAAGAAACTTCTGACTGGGAAAGATCCTCAAAGTAGGAATTACAGAAAGCACTTGAGAATATGGAATATGGTTTTCGCAATGACCTCACTAGGTGGGAAAGTAGATAAGTCTATACCTAAGGGTAAAGGTCCAAGCATGTTTCGTTTACAAGGAGGTAACTATCATTTGATAGGCAGTTTGAAACCTGCAGAAGGTGATTATGCGAAGTATTCACAACTCTATATCGTAGATACTGAGAATGAAGTAGATAACAAAGCAACTGTTATTGGGTTAGTATTATTTCTACTTAACAGGCTTATTCAATTCTTATGTATTTCTATGTTGTGGTATACTCAATCATGGGCATCTTTTTTTTTTTTAATGTAGCAAGGGGAAAGAATCATCTAGAAGAGGAAGCAAGGATATACTGAACAAAGAGACAATTGAAGCCATTATGAAAATGCTCAATGAAGTTAATCCTTATGTCAAGAATTTTAGAATTGCCAAGGAAAGATTTGGGGTAGTTAATCCCCAACCATTTCATATGAGGATATGCTCTGGTCGTAAAGGTGCTGATGGAAGGACTTACAGCATGCCTACGACTTCGGAGGTTGCAGCGTTAATCCCAGGAGACTTTACAGAAGGTATGCCAAACCGTGATATAGTTCTTCAAGAAAGGACTACAGGCCACCTAACCAGGATTAGCCAGATTCATATTTCTTATCTGGCTCTTCAGTATCCTCTGATTTTCTGCTATGGTGAAGATGGTTACACCCCAGGTATAGAGAAATGTTATAAGGGTAATAACCAGAAGAAGAAAAAGTGTATTAGTATGCGTCAGTGGTTTGCATTCCGTATTCAGGAGAGGCCAGGTGAGTGCCATACTCTTCTACTGTCGAAGAGGTTGTTTCAGCAGTTTCTTTGTGACGCTTACACCACTATTGAATCAAATCGTCTATCCTACATAAGGTTCAATCAGTCTAAGCTTAGATGTGAGAATGCAAACTCACTAAAAGAAGCTGCTGACTCTGGTGTAACAAATATGGAAGAAGAAGGAAATCAGATTTTGATTCCAGCATCTTTTACTGGTGGTCCAAGGTATATGGTTCAGAGTTATTATGATGCTATGGCCATATGTAAACATTATGGTTTCCCGGATTTATTCATCACGTTTACATGTAACCCTAAGTGGCCTGAGATAACAAGATATGTCACAGCAAGAGGGTTAACTGCTGAGGATAGGCCAGACATTGTTGCTAGGATATTCAAAATCAAGTTGGATTCTCTGATGAACGATCTAACAGAAAAGAAGATGCTTGGAAAGACTGTCGCATGTAAGTTGTCTGACTACTTCCAATTCTGTGACAATAAACTGAGACTATTTCAATATTTTCACACTATATTCTATGTTATGCAGCTATGTATACTGTAGAATTCCAGAAAAAAGGCCTTCCACATGCTCACATTCTTTTATTCATGGATGCTAAAAGCAAACTTCCAACAGCAAGCGATATTGACAGGATGATATCTGCTGAGATTCCAGATAAAGAAACAGAACCAGAGCTTTATGAAGTTGTTAGTAATTCAATGATTCATGGCCCATGTGGTGCAGCAAATATGAGTTCTCCATGTATGGTGGATGGCCAGTGTTCTAAATCGTATCCTAAAAAATTTGAGGATATCACCAGGGTAGGCGCTGATGGTTTTCCTATCTATAGAAGAAGGCGCTCTGACCACTATGTTGAGAAATGTGGAATTAAATGTGATAATAGGTATGTCGTTCCATACAATAAAAAACTATCAGTTAGGTATGGTGCTCACATTAACGTTGAATGGTGTAATCAAACTGGGTCTATTAAATACTTATTCAAGTATATAAATAAAGGCCCAGATAAGTTAGCATTTGTTGTGGAGCCTGTCAAGCCACCACCAACAGATAATGGCTCACACGTAGATCAAACAGCTAATGGATCAGAACCATTACCAGAGGAGAAAAAGAAGAATGAAATAAAAGATTATTTTGATTGCAGGTATTGTATCCTAATTTTGCTCTTTCTCAGTTTATTTCTGTGATTGGTCAGTCTGGATCCTGAAATGGATTTGTTTATTATTCAAAATTGTAGATATGTGTCAGCATCTGAAGCAATTTGGAGAATTTTTAAGTTTCCGATACAGCATAAATCAACACCTGTTCTGAAGCTATCTTTTCATGTAGAAGGAAAGCAACCAGCTTATTTTAAAGGAAAAGAGGTGATATCAGATGTTTTGGACAGAATTCTCAATCGAGATTCTCAATTCATGGCATGGCTAACATTGAATAGGAATGATGGAATTGGAAAAAATGGAAAGCGTGCTCGAGAACTCCTATATGCAGAGATACCTGCATATTTTACATGGGATGGAACTAATAAGCTGTGGAATAAGAGGTCTAGAGGATGGTCCTTAGGTCGGATTAATTATGTTCCCAGGAAGCTAGAAGATGAATATTTTCTACGAGTCCTTCTTAACATCGTCAGAGGTCCTACATGTTTTGATGACATTAAAACATATAATGGTGTTGTCTATCCAACTTACAAAGAAGCATGTTTTGCACGAGGAATTCTAGATGATGACCAGGTGTTCATTGACAGTCTGTTTGATGCGAGTCAATTCTGTTTTGGTGATTTTTTGAGGAATTTCTTCGCTATGTTGCTACTATCTGATTCCCTATCTAGGCCAGAATATGTTTGGGAACAGACGTGGCATTTGTTAGCAGAAGATATTCAACAGAAGAAGAGAAATGAGTTTGACAATCAAGGTGAGATAAATAATGAAATTGCTTAAGTTATATCATATACATTTTCTCAGTTAAATAAGCAATGATTCTATTTTTTTCTTGACATTGCCATTTATTTTATATGCAGATTTGAATCTGACAGAGGCAGAAATTAGGAACTACACTCTTCAAGAACTAGAAAAAATGATGTTGTCTAATGGAGGTACTCTTGAAGATATACAAAACTTTCCTAAGCCAACTAGAGAAGGTATAGATAATTCTAACCGTTTGATTGTTGATGAAATGAGGTATGACCGTACATCATTGGCTGAAAAGCATGCTGAGTGGATAGATATTATGACACCGGAGCAGAGAGGTGTTTATGATGAGATTACCACTGCAGTATTCAATGATCTAGGTGGAGTGTTTTTTGTGTATGGATTTGGAGGTACAGGAAAAACTTTTATTTGGAAAACACTTTCAGCTGCTATTAGATCTAAAGGAGATATAGTTCTAAACGTGGCTTCAAGTGGTATCGCTTCTTTGTTGTTGGAAGGTGGAAGGACTGCTCATTCAAGGTTTGCCATACCTCTTACACCTGATAGCAGTTCAGTGTGCAGGATAAAGCCAAAGTCTGATCTTGCTGATCTGATAAAGAAAGCTTCTCTTATTATATGGGATGAGGCACCTATGATGAGCAAGTGGTGTTTTGAATCTCTAGATAAGAGTTTTTGTGATATCATTGGTAATAAAAATAGCAAAGTATTTGGTGGAAAGGTTGTTGTCTTTGGAGGTGATTTTAGACAAGTTCTACCTGTTATCGCTGGTGCAGGCAGGGCTGAGATTGTGATGGCAGCTCTTAATGCGTCTTATCTTTGGGATCACTGTAAGGTTCTAAAGCTTACTAAGAACATGAGGCTACTTAAGAAGGATTTGAGTGTAGAAGAAGCAAAAGACATCAAAGAATTCAGTGATTGGCTTCTAGCTGTTGGTGATGGTAGAATTGCGGAACCTAATGATGGTGAGGCTCTAATTGATATACCTGAAGAACTTCTGATTACCGAAGCAAAAGATCCAATTGAATCCATTACTCGTGAGATATATGGAGATCCAGCTATGTTAAAAGGTACTGAAGATCCAGTATTTTTTCAAAAGAGAGCAATTCTGGCGCCAACCAATGATGATGTACACACAATCAACCAATATATGTTAGACAAGTTGGAGGGTGAGTCATAGCTTACTAGCTTTGTGAAATTATTTCCTTCAAGTCTTTCTTACAGCTAAAAGGTTTTTTTTTTATTTTTTCAACAGGTGATGAGCAAGTTTTTTACAGTGCTGATAGTATTGATCCTGAAGATTCCGATTCACTTAAAAATCCTGTTATCACACCAGATTTCTTAAACAGTATCAGGCTACCAGGTTTGCCACACCATGCTTTGCGTCTGAAGATTGGTGCTCCAATAATGTTACTCAGGAATATTGATCCTAAAGGTGGTCTATGCAACGGTACTCGGCTTCAGGTAACTCAGATGACCCCACGTGTTCTTCAAGCAAGAGTTATAACCGGAGACAGAATTCGTGATATTGTTTTGATTTCATTAATCAATATTACACCATCCGATACAAAGCTACCTTTTCGGATGCGTAGAAGACAGTTCCCAGTATCACTAGCATTTGCTATGACTATCAACAAGAGTCAGCGACAATCACTAGAGAGGGTTGGACTCTATCTGCCTAAGCCAGTGTTTTCTCATGGGCAACTATATGTTGCTTTATCTAGGGTTACCTCAAAGACAGGTTTGAAAATTCTGATTCTAGACAAAGAAGGGAAGATTCAAAAGCAAACAACTAATGTTGTTTTCAAAGAAGTTTTTCAGAATATTGACTCATAATGCTTCTTGCATTATTTGTCAAACAATCTTATCAAAGAAGGTATGTTTAGTTTACCATTTTATTTTATAATATAATTGCTTTATGGTAAGCAAAACCCCCAGTCAATCAATCATATATTTGACTAACAATCTACTTACCTTTTCACAGATTCAATGTCTCATGGTTCAAAAGAAAGTAACAACCAATCAATCGCCTTTCAATTCCAGTTATTGTGCTAACTATATTTGACTTCTTTAAACACTCTTACTTTCGTCATATTTGGTTATGTCTTTCTTTTTATGTATTGAATAAAGTACAATCAATCAAGCAGATGCACAATCATTTAGTTTTCTCATTTTCACTCAATTTATCTTAGCTTAACATTAATGAAAATGTTGTAGATGTTTATAAATTACATTTCAGTGAGAAGAAAGTGTAAACTAACCTTGCATAGATGCGGATGTAGATTTGATTCTCCTTGGTTTCAGATTTTTGTCCTGATGTCTTCTGATGGTAGAAGCTTCCTATTCAATATACAGCAAGGGTTAGATACTTCAAAATAATCATCATAAAGTCCTTTATGCCGCCCAAAATCACTAACTGTACTCTTACCTTCTCTTCATTTTTTGATCTGCTTATGCTAAGTTGAGGAGTTTCTAACTTTCAATTAGTCGGATTCTATGTTAATTCCTAGACAAACACACATTAATCGATTAGCTAATCAGTACAGTTGCTATGTCATTCAAAGTTTAGCTGTGCTCAGAACAGTGAAAATCATTTGAGTTACAAACAATTGAATATACTATTGTCAGAATAAGAATTGAACTTACAGTTTCAGCTCGCTTGAATAAGAGGTCCCAGAAGCAAGTTCCGATAACCCTCGATTCCAATTGCTGCTTGATCTTATCCAAGCTGTTATCAGTAGCATCAACAATCCTCTACGAATTTTCCGAAATTGACAAAATGGGTCAGTTTAAGACTGTCAATTAGAAAAGGAGCCAAAATAAAGACACTAAATTGTTGCAGAAAGATATCGAGGGAGAAAGATACCGGAGAAGCGCCGTTCGAAGCCATGTTAATTGGGATCGACGATTAAGGAAAGATCCATGGTCGATTAAAGGTGAATAATCGCTGATTGATTGATCGAGAGAAGAAGTGGTGTTAAGGTTTTGTTTGGTTTAGGTTTTGAGCCGAAGAAGACGAGATTAAAGAAGAAGATGAAGAAAATGGTGAAGAAGATGAAGAAAATGGAGAAGAAGAAGTTAGGTTGATTGTGTTTCGCGGAATTGAAAATGACCCGTCTTCGCGAGCTTTGTGTTAACCGGTCGGTACGTTACCGGATCAGATCAACTAATCTGACCGGTTCTTTTGCATTTTTTTTTTTTTTGCCCAGTAACATTAAAGGACTTTGTTGTCTACAGCCCAACATGTATGAGAGGTTACCTGATTTTGTATTAACATGTTAATTATGTTATTAAGTTCAATATATATCATGCAAACTAATTAATTAAAACATATTATTATCTCAAACAATAAGTTTTTGCATATGAAAAAAACTATTCACAGCCATATTTACATGATCAAAAATTAATTTTTCCTTAATAAAATCAAACTATCGTGCAATTTATATTGATTAAAATTATTTTAATCCTTCACATCTAAATAAATCATATAATACAAGATATCTAAAATCTGAGAATTATATTACCAATGCAAACAGATTGACATTTAACATATAAAAGCCAAATGCACATATATGAAAATTAATCTTACCATAGAAACAAGCTGTATGTTTACACATTACCAAACTTTTAAAAAATAACTAATTATGTAGTATCAATTAGACGATTAATATAAAAGGAAATAATTTTTATGTAACACATATGACTCGATTAAAACATGTTATACACAAATAATATCGATAACTTATAACACAATCCCAACTATAATATATAAATATATATATAACCACAAAAAAAAAATCAAAATAAAATAAAACCAATTATTATTGTATTATTAAATAACAAATAATAAAAATATTCAACCCGCGGTGTACCACGGGTAACAATCTAGTATTGTTACTAAAAATCTTAAAAATTTTGGAGGCCCAATACCCAAGTGTCTTGGATACGTGTGGCGGGCCGGTCTGGTGACATTAGTGGAAGGCTCTCCTCTCTTTAGGCTTTGCGGTTGAAGTTGTGGTGTGGTTAGATTCCGATTTTTCTTTGTTTGATGTCCCGTGTTTCAGTTTTTTTTTGTCTTTGTTGCCTTTGTTTGTTTTGGTTTGCTTTGCATTTTCGTGTTAGTTAAAAAGTTTTTCATGTCTTTGGACATAGTTTTCGGGGTTGTGTTGTTAACCGCCGGCTTAGTTTTCGAGAATATGTTTGTTTTCCGTCGGCTTAGTTTACGGGATTATGTTGTTAGTCGCCAACTTTGTATTTTGGTTTTTCGGATCGTTAATAATTTCTACCAGATGACAAAAAAAAAAAAAAATTCCCAAAATATGGAGATGCGGGACAAAAAAGCAGAATTACCTGGATGCAAAAAAGAGAAAAAAACTCAAAGTATTTTCATGCTTGTGTGAAGCAAAGAAGAGCTAATAACCATATCCACTTTCTCACGGACGAAGAAACAGGAAAAGAGACATATGACGAGGAGCAAATGGGTGATATGGCGGTCAGACATTTCACCAAGCTTTTTACATCAGAGCTCAGGGACTCAGCCAGCAGCAGAGAATCCTCTATATTCAGGAATTTTACCAGGAAAGTGAGTGATGCTCAGAACGCTGCTTTAATGAGACCTGTGGATGATGAAGAAATCAGAAGGATAGTCTTCAGTTTGGGACCAGACAAATGTCAAGGCCCGGATGGCCTCTCGGATGCTTTCTACCAAGACTTCTGGACAACGGTGAAGACAGAGGTGATTTGCTTAGTTAAAAAGTTTATGGCTGAGGGTGTCTTTGATAGTAGATTAACCGAGACCAACGTCTGTTTGATACCTAAAAGTCATCATCCTACTAAATTAAGTGAATTCAGGCCTATCAGTCTATGCAATTTTGCTTACAATATTATTTCCAAGCTCTTGACAGAACGTTTGAAGAAGATTGTACCTGATATCATCTCCGAGAACCAAGCAGCTTTCATCAAAGGACGACTTATCTCAGACAACATTCTTGTAGCTCATGAAATTCTTCATTCCTTAAGAGTAAAGGATTCTGTCTCCTCGAATTTTTTAGCCATGAAGACTGATATGATGAAAGCTTTTGATCGACTTGAATGGCCTTTCGTGGAAGCTACGCTAAGGCATCTTGGTTTTGATGAGGCTTGGATTTCAAGAGTTATGACCTGCATTACCTCGGCTTCTTATGGAATCCTAGTAAATGGAAAGCCTTTTGGTAAGATCACCCCATCAAGAGGACTGAGGCAGGGAGACCCTCTTTCACCTTTCATCTTTATCCTATGTGCTGAGGTCTTGGCTAATTGTTTTAGGCGAGCTAAAACTGAACAACAGATTACAGGAGTAAAGGTGGCAGAAGCTTCCCCAGCCATATCTCATCTTCTATTTGCGGACGACAGTCTCTTTTTCTACCAAGCAACTAAGGAAGAGGTGGAAAAGGTTAAACAGATTCTTGAGGATTATCATTTGGCATCTGGTCAAAAAGTGAAGTTGGATAAATCAAGTATTACTTTCGGAAAGAAAGTGGACCAAGATAGAAGAGAACTGATCAGATTAGTCACTGGTATAAGCAATGAAGGAGGTGAAGGGATATACTTGGGTTTACCAGAGACGTTCATAGGATCAAAAGTATCCACACTTCGCTTTCTGGAAGAGAGAGTGGCCAAAAAGATCAACTCATGGAGTGCTAAATTTCTTTCACAAGGAGGTAAAGAGGTAATGATTAAAGCAGTAGCTATGGCTCTGCCTACTTACTCAATGTCTTGCTTCTTGCTTCCAAAAACTCTTTGTGAGAAAATTACTTCCCTTCTAGCAAAGTGCTGGTGGAAGAATCAGGGAACTGGCAGAGGAATTCACTGGAAATCTTGGGAAAAATTGAGTGTACCTAAATCAGGGGGGAGCAGAGGTTTTAGAGACTTGGAAGGTTTTAACCTAGCCCTTTTAGGAAAGCAATTATGGAGAATGTCAGTCTTTCCACAATCTCTGATGGCAAGAGTATTTAAAGGAAGATATTTCCCCAAGTCAACCCCATTAGAAGCCAAACTAGGAACCCGCCCATCCTTTGCTTGGAGAAGTATCCATGAAGCTCAAGCTCTAATGAAGGAAGGGCTGAGACTAGAATTGGGTAATGGAGAGAATATTAACATCTTCAGAGATCCTTGGCTTCCAGACATCGTCCCGAGACCACCACGACTTAAAGACGGTATGGACCCTCAAAACATCTCATTCTCTCTTCTAAAAGAGGATGGATCAGATGAATGGAGAGTCTTAGTCCTTCGCGACTATTTTTTGGTGGAAGATGTGCACTTAATCACTCAATTACGACCAGGGAAGTCAACGGCTGAAGACACTTTCTCTTGGATTTATACTAAAGATGGCATGTACACGGTAAAATCAGGCTATTGGGTATGGCTGAACAAGATCAAGACAATCGGGAAAGCAAGGGAGGTGGAGAATCCTAATTTAAACCCTTTATTTAAAGCCATATGGCAGGTCCAAACCTCGCCAAAGATTCAGAATTTCCTGTGGAGATCCATATCCAACAGTCTAGCTGTAGCAGCAAACATGGCAAATAAAAGACTCACCAAATTTCCAGATTGCCCAAGATGCGGAGAAAAGAGAGAAACAGTTAACCATGTTCTGTTTCAATGCCCTTTTGCTAGGCTAGCTTGGGAAATCTCTCCTGCTGCAAGCTTACTCAGACCGGAGCCATCCGAATCTGTTTATGCCAATATGGCATCTTGCTTATTAACTTCTGGAAAGCATGCCACTTCCGAGCATGAACAAACCAGTATGTGGCCATGGCTTTTATGGAGGATTTGGAAGGCACGAAATGACCTCTGCTTCTCAGATTCTATGCTGGATATTCGGTATATGGTTGAAAAAGCAGCTGAAGAAGCAATAGAATGGTTTGGGGCTACTATTGAAGAATCAACTCAGCCTGTTAATCCTACCCGAAGAGCGTTGGTCACTGATCCAGTCTATACACATTGGATACCCCCTCCTCCAGGTACTCTTAAATGTAACATTGATGCAGCTTGGTCTAAGGACTCAGAGACATGTGGAGTTGGCTGGATTCTGCGTGATAGTCACGGTAATTTAAGATGGTATGGTGCTAAATCTTGTCCCAGATTATGCTCACCCCTAGACGCAGAGGCTGCTGCCCTTTTATGGGCTATGTCATGCCTAGACAACTTAGGCTTTGTGGAAGTTCTCTTTGAGAGTGATTCGCAAACCCTCATCCAAGCGATAAAACAGCCTTCTGCCTGGCTAAGAATGAAGACTTACACTAGTGAGATCTTAGGCCCGCGGAGAGGACAACTTACACCATCTTTTCGGTTTATTGGTAGGCGAGGAAATGAATGTGCAGACCTCATTGCCAAGACTACAAGTTCTTTCCCTCTTTACTTTGCTTCTTTAGATTGTAGTACCCCATCATGGCTTATGTCACTGTTGGAAAGAGAGAAACCTTTGTATGGTTTTTAGTATTCGCAAGAAATAAAGTATGTTTTTGAGTTTAAAAAAAAATATATATGGAGATGCGGGGGATCGAACCCCGTGCCTCTCGCATGCAAAGCGAGCGCTCTACCATTTGAGCTACATCCCCAATTGTTGAATCACAATGTTTCATTCTTCCTAAATTCAAAAAACCAAACCAATATGAACTCTTCTTCTTATCTCCAAGCGAGCCGCGTGATGGTACTCGGAGCGAAATCTCCGGTGGACCGCCGCCGGAGATCACTCGAGAGAGTGAGTAAAGAACTCTCAAGAGGCAATTACGAAACTGCTCTCTCTCTCGTCAAGCAACTCAAGAGCAAACATGGCTGCTTATCTGCTTTTGGCTCTGCTAAATTGGTCGGTCTCTCTTATCTCTTTCTCATGCTTATTTTCTTTAATTCATGTCTTTTTCCTTATTTTCTTTCTGTGATTAGCTTCCGAAGAAATTAGACATGAGTAGCAAAAGTGATCTTTGGTCATTGATTGATTCGGTCTCTAGAAGCATTGAATCTGTTTATGTCGAAGAGGTACTTTCAATTTTGGACTCATGTAGTTTCATATACCTTCAAAGCAAAAACTGTGATTTTTTTTACTAATTTGTAGGATTCAGTGAGAATTTCCAAAGAGGAGGAAACTAAAACTTCACCTGAAGAAGATTGGTTCGCTGTTGTTCAGGTGAGAATTCTTGTACTTGTTAACTTAAACTTAACATTGTTGCAAAGTGATGATTGAAGAAATTAATCATAAATGTTGTCTGGTAATAAGAACATATCAATCAAATAGGACTTTTTGTGGCAAACGTAACTTGTTTGCAACGTATGCAGCATGAATCTGGGCATTTTCTTGTTGGTTACTTGCTTGGTGTTCTTCCAAGATACTATGAAATACCAACCTTGGAAGCTGTAAGGCAGAATGTGTCGAGTGTGACAGGGAGAGTAGAATTTGTGGGTTTTGAGTTCCTCAAACAAGTAAGTAGTTTGCTCAGCAAATGGTCAGCTTTGTCATATGTTTTCCAACCACTAGACTTTGTGTTATCACCGCAGGTTGGTGCTGCAAACCAGCTAATGAAAGATGATAGGGATAGCCGGATGAATCTATCGGTATGTTATATACTTGTATATTAGCATCTCTATTGTCTATCTTCTTTACTCAATACTTTTTTTTGTGTACAATGTAGGATACTCAAGGCAATATCTCTTCCAAGGTACGATTTTCTCAAACTTACATTCAATGAATGATTTTCAAGCTGTTTCTGTAGTTTGAGTGGTTGGATCTGTGTATTGCAGACACTGAACAACTTCTCATGTGTGATACTTGGAGGAATGGTA